TGGAACCAAAAGCGAGGATGGTGCCAAATTCTCTGCCCAGCTCCAGACACAAAAGACACAAAGAGGAGGGGAAGACAGCATAAAGGGAAAAAACAGGAATCTTGGCACGTGGTTACATTTACACATAGCCGTGTATTTTGAGAAACGAATATTTCCTTCCCTCCGTTTTCCAAAATAACATCGTGCACGCAACATCGTTTTCAAAAAAGTTTTTACATCAACCTGCATAAATACACCATCGAGCGCCATCATAACGACGCCAAGCCTCTGGACAGCAACCAGATTAGACTCAAACCTGTAGCATTTAATTCATTATAGTTGTAAGTATTACTCCAAAATACTTTGAAAAACATGTATTACTGAAAAGTGTTTGCACCAGAAGAAATGCGACTGCTGCTCTGAATGCTCCATGATCATCATCAGAGCAAAAGGTAAACATTGGTTGCATTTTCGGCGTGTCAGCTCCTAAAATTTCATTTATCTCACGCAAACGTCAAACCGTAGTTTTCCACAATCTCCGCTCTAGAGTTTTTAGAAAGATTCGTTTTTGGAGGCGAATGCGCAGTTTGCGTGTAAAAGATGGGTACAAACAAAGGGAAAATAATTTTTTTAGAAATACCTGTGTATGTACAGATAGTATCTGTAGAGGGTTGGAGACACAAGACCCAAGAGTGAAGTGGACGCAAGAAAGAGGTTTTGTTGCTCTTCGTGTGAATGTGGGTTACAGTTTTATGCCATACTGTGAAACATTCCTGGAAAACCACTGACCTCTCCATGTTTTTTTTTATGTTTTTTTATTTAATATTTTGTAGTACTTTGATAGTCAAAATAGCTCATCGTGTAATTTCATGTGATACATAACTGGATTTTGCACTTTGTGAAATAAAACTAGAGGAAGTTAAAACCACCTGGACAAAAACAAATGTTGTAAACTTAATTGAAACCAGTCTAAGGATGGAACAATAAAGAATAATATCGTGTAAAAAAGGGGCAACAATCATTCATGGGAATGTTAAATGTGATAATCTGCAACAAAGATAATCCTTATTGTATCACCAAAATGTGTAGATAAAAGCTATAAGTGGTTGTTTTAACTTATAACAATGTACAATTATATAAAAGTTGTTTAAACATGGTACTTATTTATAACATTAAAGTTATAATTATTCATATCCATAACATTTTTAACCTATCAGCAACTTTAATAATTATTGTGATAATTATTAGGAACTCTCTGCCCCCCTCGAGTCCAAACATCTCCCATAGTGGAGAGTTTTAAGTCTCGTCTTAAGACCCACTTTTACTCTTTGACTTTTAACACTGCATGAGTTGTGTGGTCCTCTGTGTCTTTTATTTACCTTTTTTAATTTTACTTATTTATTGCTATTTCATGATTTTTACGGTTTTGCTTTTATTTGATGTTTTTGTTTGTTTTATTTTATTGTTTTAGAACTGGTATGATCACATTTTAGCTATTTATCTTTTGTTGTCAAAATTTTATGTTCTCAGTGCAGCTCTTTGGAAACTGCTTTGTTTGTGAAATGTGCTATATAAATAAAGTGGATTTGGATATAATCATAATTATTTTGGCCATGATAATGGTGACATTAAATTTCAGTATGGTCCCATGCCTGAACTAGTCACAGACATTTGGTTGTGGTCTTAATCTCAGAAGGTTAATAATAACTCTAGTTGTATGAATGTTATGGTTAACTCAGAACCTTAAATAGCTGCTGAGCTCTTATATTCTCTGGGACTGTCCCGGTCTGGCTCTGTTCCCATGAGAATCGTCGTGTCCCAGGCCATAAGCCATCCACAGGGTAACCCCCCAGAGCCCCCCAGAAGAGCCAGGGCAGCCCAGTGGGAGCGGTGACACTAGACAGAGGACTACAAAAAATCATTGTGGGTGTGGTAGATCATAGGGTTGTCAAAAGTATCAAAAATTAGATACTAATAGATATGTGTAAAATCACTCAATCGTCCAGGTAGAATCCATGGAAAAGGAGAAATTAAATTTGTTGACTACACAAAAGAACTGAAGAAGGAGCTTGGATGAACTGCAAAACGTATTCGACCAAATAAACTTCTGTCCAGTTGACAAACTGAATTTCTCCTTTGCCATGCAATAGATATTAAAAACTAGTATCGAAACTAGATACTCATTTGAGCATCGATACTGTAAAAAATCACATAACTGGATAAAATGTTTCTTTTCCTCAACAGTTTCATTTTGAACTAGTGCAAGACCACATGACATAATAAACAAATACAATCAAATACTATTTTGTTGTTGAAAGCTACAATATTGTCTAAAAAAAGAGATTTTAAAATGATCATTTGTGAGTCAAAATTGGTATTTTTTGTAATCGTTGAGTGTGATAATTGCACTTATTTTGATGAATTGCACAGCCCTAATGTAATAATAATACAAATCCAAAATTGCAAATTCTGGATTTTTTCCTTTTCTTTGACAAGATTTGTGTGAAAATATAAATAATCAAACAGTTAAAAATGTCATTGTACATTGTCACTGAGTCTGTCTGTTTCCTATTTATGGACACCATTTTGAGGACCTATGACCATTCAATAGATGTATGTGTGAAACTATATCTATTGTGTGATTTATGTGTGATATATGTGTGACACCAGACAAAGGATAGAGAAAAATCCCCATTGTGGGTGTGATGGTATCTGTATATTTTAGTTTTAATGTATGGGTTTAAGATTCCTGTTAGAGGCAAAATTTCTTCATTATTCAAAAGATATTTATATGTTATTTACTGTCTTAATTTTTCATCATTCTGAACCCAATGGATAAAAAAGCACTCAAAAATATCTTGAAAACATGCCCATACTGTAATCCAAATCACCTCTCCCCAGATCTGGCTTGTAACTTGGCTTGATGGCATCACCTGTTTGCCATGGTGACAGAAACATTTTTATGCCATACTGTGGAGCACTGCAAGAAAAGCAAGACAGCAGATACTTTTAAAGATATACTTTAGAGAGGCTGAGAGAAATTTCCCTCTGGTGACAATTAGGGGTATGCAAAAATATTGAAATATCGATATATCGTATCATTTAATGTGATGATACAGAATCAATATTGTGGACTGTTGTATGGATATATCGCCGAGAGTATTTTTTGGTACATTTCACTAAATTATTTAGTTTCAGCACTACAGTTTTGTTGCTTGTTTAGGGGAAGGAAATTCGTTTATGCAACACATTTGACATTTTCACTGTTTTGATTATTAAAATGGTGTGTTTCAAATTCACTTTGCACAAGAAGTGGTTTAACAAAGACTTTTAGTATCACAGTCATGATTTAGCCTTTTTTTTTTTTTATTGAACTGTACTGAATTGATTTGAAATATATCATATCAAAATATAAAGTCACTGTGTCAAGATATGTACCGTATCGTGGTAAACATTCAACAGAATCAATAAGCCAAAAAGCATCCAAAGTTAGATGGACTGATCTCCTCGCCTCGCCTGTCGCCTCTCCTTTTTATTCTGTACACGGACAGCTGCAGATCCTCAGAGGAAAATCAACACCTAATTAAATATTCGGATGACACGGTCCTGGTGTCACTGCTTTCAAGATCTGAGAGAAATCATGGTCCTGCACTGGAGCAGTTTGTCCAGTGGTGTGAGGAAAACTACCTGGATTTGAACGTTGCCAAAACTAAGGACATGGTGATTGATTTTAGACGTGCACCTTCCCACAGTGCTAGTGTCATCCATGGTGATGATGTTGAAATAGTTGATAGCTACATATCTGGGCACCGTGATGGACAATAAACTGAAATTTGACCTAAACACTGAAAGCATCGTCAAACGAGGGCAGCAAAGATTACATTTATTGAGGAAACTGAACTCTTTTAGTGTGAACAAAATTATTCTTAACAATTTTTATTGTTCTTTTATTGAAAGTCTTCTTACTTTTTCTTTTATTTGCTGGTTTGAATCCTTGTCTGTGAAGGACAAAAACAAACTTCAGAACATTGTTAAAACCTGCTTGAAAATCACAGGGATCAAACTGAGGGAGCTGCAGTCTTTGTGGGAGGAGCAGGTGCTGAGCAAAGCCAAGTGTCTCCTGGCTCAGTCCCTCCATCCTCTGGCTCCTGATTTTATCCTGATGCCTTCAGGGCGTCAGTTTTATGCTCCAATACGGAAAACCAACCGGTTCTCTAATTCTTTTGTGCCCTGTGCTGTTAAATTGTTAAATTCTAAGAGTACAGTTTTATGAAAGCTTTACACTGTAATTTGTACTTTATTTTGAGTTCCACTGGTGGACGGCAATGGGCTGACACACTTTGTGTTTGTTTGTGTTTGGGTGTGCTCTGAGATGCTGCTAATGAATTGCCTTATGGGATCAATAAAGTTTTCTGAATCTGAATCTGATCTCAATGATGATGTGTTTGACCGGAGGTATCTATACTGCATTTCAAATGTGCTTTTCCCTGATAATATGCAGATAATATTTCACACACAAAAGACTGTAGTTGAGTTAATCTGTAATAACATGAGTGTCCCATTCAGTGTCCATGGTGTGCAGCTTGTTTCTCTGGACCAGTCCTTCACTCTGGGCCAGCCCTTTGCTCACCAAAACCACCTCATGTTGGGGTTTTGAGATGGGTTAAAGGTCCTATATTACACAAAATTGACTCTTGTGAGGTTTAAGCCATGTTATAATGTTGTTAGCTCACCAAAAACATACATGGAGTTGTGTTTTGTTTCATTCAGACATGTTTATTAGTCTGTCTGTCCATCGGAGTGGCCGACAGCTACACAACTCAGCTGACTTGTTGTTTTAGATTAATATTACAATTTAAAACCATTATCTTTAACCAAATTATATATTAAATACATTAATTAATAAATTGCAGATGTTTTTAATGGCAAAAAGTACCTTGAAAACATGCATTCTTACTGTGAGCGGTGAATATTTCAGCAGTAAGAGCTTTTACTATTACCAATACTATAAGCCTACTTCTTGGTCCAACTAACTACATTTAACCGCTCTGTTATCTTTGCACATTTAGAAACAAATTAAGTTAATTTATGAATGATTTATGCCAAAAAAGACTCTTCCAAGTGACTAATCTGGGATCTAGTCCAGACCCCAGACCGGTCCTTCATGTCTTGTAAAGTCCCAGGTCTGGTCTCAGGAGGTCTGCTGTGTATCCTTGAGTTAGGACATGGACAGAGGGCCTCATAAATAATTATTACTGCTGTGTTGTGTCACTCTCCTCTTGTCTCACTTCACCCCGGGTCCTTCCTCCATTTTGGTCCTCCTCAACAGCTCTTTTCTGCCACACAGACATGAAAAAATAGAGTAGTGAGTAATATAAGTCTGTTTTGGTTGCTTTTTGTTGCTTTTTCTCAAAAGCTTTTGGGGTCATGATGGTTCTTTGCAACAGACCCTCTGGATAACGTGTTAATCAGCTTGTAAGCTACTTGTATGTTTTGAATAATGTAACTGTTCTCTCATCGTTGACTTACTTAAAGTTGTGTTTTGAATGATTTGATCAGGCATGAAATCCTGTACTGTGCTTGAGTGCTTACATTTCTTTTGCATTTATTCTTAATTTCTGAATTTCTTGGTCTTTCATTAAGCATTTTTAGATTGATACTGCAGCATACTGTGGTCAAAATGTAAATGAATGATCTATGCATTTTATGATTTTAAATTGCTCTGCATTTCTTAAAGGGAGAGTCTGGAATTTTGGACATAGGATCTCATTTCCTAGTTAGCCAGAGTGTTGGAGACGTGTGGAGACACTTTTTAAAATATTCCGTCCAGTCTTTGTATTTACAGAGGTCAATGGCCAGTTACTCTGCCACTCAAAACAGTCTTACCCACTCCACAAAACACCCGAAGCAAATCTATTATTACACCAGACTGTCAATGTGAATGTCTGTGTTGATAGAATAATGTTTGAAATAAAACCAACCTTGGATCGCATGAATCGTCGCATGTTGAGGAACTATTTTCTCAGCAGCAGTAGAATGTTACTTTGCCGATAAGATAGGTGCTAGGTGATATCAGTCCGCTGCTGCCAAGCTTTCTATCAGGAAGAACATCTCTCTGCTGCTCGGACATAAATCCTTCAAATGCAAGGTTGGTTTTATTTCTAAAATTATTCTATCAACACAGACATTTACATCGACAGTCTGGCATAATAATAGATTTGCTTTGGGTGTTTTGTGGAGTGGGTAAGACTGTTTTTAGTGGCAGGATAACTATGGCCATTGACACGCACAAGTCTAGCACCAGCGACCTCTGCAAATACAAAAACTGGATGGAATATTTAAAAAAAGTGTCTTCACACATCTCCAACACTCTGGCTAACTAGGAAATGAGGTCCTATGTCCAAAATTCCAGCCTGTCCCTTTAATGGAGGGTCCACTACCTGCTCGTCTCCTTGGTGTCGTTATTGCTTTTTCAGGAATGTTCCACAGCATGCCATTTAGGTTTTCTATCTTCATGAACATGGCATTAGGCAAGTTCCAATGTGGCTCTGTGGAAAGGTGAGTCTGCTCACAATGAAAACGCATTGTTTTTTAAGGTAATTTTAAAGCAAAAAAACACCTGTACTTGAATAAATACAAAATAAAGTAGTATTATATAGTAAATATAGTATGATTAAATGTGAGACTTTCTTTTATCACTATATTATTATTGTTATTAGTATGTATTTGAGCAGTACTTTGGAAACTGTTCGTTTGTGAAATGTACTATATAAATAAAGTGGATTGGATTGGACTAAGCAATAACATTACCATGGAGACAAACAAGCACTTGAAAACTTACATAGCACAGTTTTAACACTAAATACTCATCAGGAAAAAAGCTTAATTTGTCTTCTTTTAATTAGTGTAGTGTACAGAACATCTCGTCCAAACTGCAATAAAAAAGGTGACATACTAGTAGCAGCACAAATGAATTCTTCAGCTTCTCCTTTTTCCTTTTAACTTTCTTTTATTTGCCCAATCCTTCTTCTCACTTCCCCTCCGTCTCCCCCTCTCTCTTTTCTCCCCCTCCCTCTCCTTCTCTGCAGGGCTGTCCTGTCTCTCTCTCACATGTTTCCTTGGCTTGTCCCAGATAAGAAGGGGGGCTGAATCATTTCTTTAGACCACTTCGGACACTACCACCAGCTAAGAACTTTCTTTCTCCTCTGAATTTTTTTATTTTGCTTTGAGAATTTTCACATTTTCAGCTTGAAATTCTACTTTTTCATACATTTCCAACACTGGATGTAACTTTCATTGGAATACAACAAGTGTAACTGTTTCTTTGGAGACACCTGCTTCAGATAGTTCTAACTACTCCTACTTTCTCTAAATACACAATTTTGCACAACCTAAAACTGTAGGATTATTGAAATACCTGTAGCATGGATTGACTCTCATTGTAATACTATGGACATGTATGCCAGAATGCTATATGTTATCCTAAAGTGAACCATTTTCAAACTTACTCCATTAAGAACTTCAAACTTCATTCAAAGGAAAGTCATGAGGCATTGCAGTCCTTATTGGATCTTACTACTCATTCTCTGGACTTTAACCACTGTTGCTGATGCTGCAGGATCTTCTTCCACTTCTTCTGACAGAGGACTTGGAAGGAACCAGAGGAGAGACAAAACTGGTGGAGGAGCGGAGAAGAAGAGGAGGCTGCACAGGATCCAACACGGACAGTGCAGTTACACATTCGTGCTGCCGGAACTGGAAAGTTGTCAGGGAAGAGGACAGGTCCCTGGGGTGAGACCGGGAGCCAGTGTGGTCCAGAGAGACTCCCCCACGACCCAGGACTCGGACTGGTCCACGCAGAAGATACAGAGGCTGGAGAGCACCATGGAGAACAATACACAGTGGCTGCAAAAGGTAAGGAAACATTTATGTGAAGGATTTCTTAGAAAATGTGTAAAGTGTGAAATGAATAACTGAGCTGAGGTTTGCTTCTATATGATTTCTGTTGGCTGCATTTTAGTGCAAATTTTAAAAAAAGTTTATGGTAATACTTAAGTTTAGAGACTACATATTACATTAGGTATGGTCATAATAAATGTTAAATTACATCTCTCTTAGTGATGAGTCGGTGTAATCCCTCATTCATCCAGGAGTGGTCCATCAAAAATATTTCAAAATCATCTGCACACTGTCTTTGAAGTTATTGTCAATCTGATGAGATACTAAGCATTGAGAAAGAAAACACTAAATTAAATAAGTCCTGCCCCAAAAGGAGGAGTTTTAAACTGAAACTGCCCTTCCTTTGCATCATTATGGGTGATCTGTGTGTCTTCACCACTGTTAAGTACCTATGCATATAATTGGCTTTATCTCTAAACTTATCTTTAAAAAAAAAAGTGTTATGTACATCTCTTTTTTACTTCTTTTCCTTTGTGATGTATAAAGAGGCAAATTTGAGCGGTGGGGTTTTCAGAGATGAGGCAGATGGAATCCGTGCTGAAAGAGATGAGTGAAGATGAGAAAGTTGTGAATGTTTGTGTTTTGTCTTTGCATACACCTTTAAGTTACATTATGTTTTATAAATGAGACCTCAGATGACTACCCTTTGAAACATTTTCTACATCTCTGTTTGTATTTATACAGTAATACTTGTCTAGGGCTATATTTTACTGGCATCTTATCGCAGATCTGACTTGTGAGTCAACTGTGTAGAGAAGGAACACCTGTTTGTCCCTGTGATGTTGCAGCAAATTTTACTTTTTCATGAACATAGAAGTGCTTATATCTTAAAAATATCTTAACCTGGAATATTCCACCATATCACTTTAAATTGAGGTATAGGTCAGCTTGAATTGTAGAGTTTTTAGAGTTAATTTGCTGGTCATATTCTGTTAAAAGTGCATTGTGTTTTATGGCAAAATGTCCGTCACCTGCATGTTTCTATGGATGTCATTGTTGTGCCTCGAATGTTCCACAATATGACGTCAAACAGCTCTACATTACATTTATCCAACTACAGGTGGTACATATGTGGTTTATAGCTCAAGAATACCTAGAAAAACAGGCATTCTGACTATGAGTGGGGTCGCCTCTCCACAGATCTGACCTGTAACTTGGTGAGGTTTGGTCTCCATGAAGATAAAGTTTAATGCCATACTGTGAGACATTTAAGACAAAGCAATAACATCTCCATGACCTCCCACCAAAAAAAGTTACAATTTAAATATCAGGATTTTGCTCAAACTTGTTCACACATTTTTCAACTTAAAGCTGTTTATCTCCCCAGAGCTATTGTTTTTAGCCAAATTTAAACCCACCCACCCTGAACTTACTAAACATAAATATAGAATGCAAGACCAGGCTTGAACATATATTATATTACTTTTCCAAAACATCTGGTTACAAATAAGATGGCTGTTAAAAACACTTGTTATGACAGTCCATCTCTCCTGGGGTTGGGGTGTATTTGCTGCTATAGGAGATCAAAACAAGCTGCTTGGACAATGGTCAAAAACAGTGCTGAGTGTTGTGAAGTGTGAAGAATGTTAAAAGCGCTTTATTAAATACATACGGCCGTAAACCTTGGGAAAAAATAAGATGAAGGTGAAAGATGAACTAAAACCAGCATCAATAGATAAAACAACCCAGCCCCAGGTATGATTTGATATGAGCCACATCATAATATGCTTAAAGAGGCACTATGTAATCTTTCTGGTGAGTATTTCATCAACTGCTTGTCACTATGGACATTTACTGCTTTGCCTGAAATGTCCCAGACAATTGATTTAAACTTCTATCTTGCATTTATTCATCAACTTGTGTTTTTAATGCTCAGAAATAATTTGGAAAACACGCATTCTGACTGTGAGCTGGGCTGCCTCTCCACAGAACTGACCTGTAATTTGGCTTGGTCTGGTCCTATGGAGTTAGATGAAGTTAATGACATACTGTGAAATATTCCAAAGCAGTAACACCTTCATGGAGATGAGCAAGACGGAATTCTCCACTGCAAAATTTACATAGTGCAGCTTTAAAGCTCATAAAAGTAAATTTAGCACAGGATTCCCTTCAGAGCATTTAAAGATTATGCTTTGGAGGGTATTTAGTCTTAAACATAACATACATTCTGTGCATTGCAAACATCAATATTGACCTAAAATAGCTTAATAATAGAAACCAGGTTCATTGACTTCTTGTTCAGAACTGCTGAAATGATAGAGGAATTTCAGTTTCGTTGCTTGTTTGTTTTTAATGGTTGAAGTATGCAAAATCTTTACCCTATATACACTACCGGTCAAAAGTTTTAGAACACCACACTTTTTACAGTTTGTTCTGTTTACTGTTGACCTAAACTTTTGATTCATGAAAGTGTCCACCTTTGGCAGATATAACAGCTGAACACACTCGTGGCTCGTTCTTTTTACAACAGAAATCAAATATTCATCAGAGAGTTCTTCCCAAGGCTGTTGCAGAAGTTCCCATAAATATGTGGCACTTGTAGGTTGCTTGGCTTTCACTCTTCTGTCCAGTTCATCCCAAAACCAGCTCGATGGGGTTTAAGTCTGGAAACTGTGCTGGACACGCCATGTTTTTAAGCTTTACCATCTTGTTCTTTTTTCCTGAGGTAGTTTCGGCAGAGCTTGGACTTGTGTTATGTTATCTTTTGTCTTTTTTTAAGCCTTTCGCTGTTCAGTTCTTACCTTTGTACCATTTCAAGCTCTTCATTGGATTTACGTGACTTGAATTTCAATAAATATCTGGAAAAATTAGGGTGTTCAAAAACTTTTGACCAGTAATGTATATGACGGCAATTTTAAAATAATCACCAGTAAATTCAAGGAAGTGCGTGGGGATAGGAGAGAAGGTGAATAAAAGATTACTGCATGAATCAATCAAAATACAACTTTGAGTAGCCTTATGATAAAGGATTAAGGTTAGAGAAGTCATTCAGTATCCCAGAGGTCAAAGGTTTTATTCCTGCTCAGATCAAATTCTGACACATTGTCCATAGGCAAGACACATCACGCACATTACCGAGCATGAATGTTTGTGTGTGATTGGTTTTGTTTTTTGAGGCCGATGATGCAGATTGTCAACCTCGCTTCTGTCAGTCTGCTCCAGGGCAGCTATGGCCATAAGTAGTTTACCGCCACCCAGTGTGGAGTGAATGAATAATGGCTGCAGTGTGGCACTTTGAGAGGCTATTATTATAAGGAGTACCTTCATAATACAGTCAAGTTAAATTAACATAATACATCTCCTTTAACAAAAGAACACATCATTATCCTCTTTTTTCGTTGCTAATCAATCATTCGTAATAGTGGTAAAAGTTTATGTCCGGTTGCCAAATATTTTCCATTTACCATTTCATTGTTTTAATTGTACAATTTTGTATATTTTATGAAATGATTAGCCCTTTGTTGTAAGCATTACCTAACTGTATATGCCCACAGAGTAAGCATGTTGTCAGTGGTGTTTTGTCCTGGCACACAGCAGCCCTGTTGAACATCGAGGGGCTGGTCTGATGTGAGGCGACTTGCTGCACAGATGTTGGGGTTGTGTTGGATCACAGATGGAGCAGGCTGAATGGCAGCTGGTTTCAATCACTACAACAACAGCCTTGTGTTATTTTAACCATCCATAATTCTCCCACATGTGGCTTTAGCTGGTCTGCCTGTAGATTACTTCACAACCTGTCTGTTCCAAATATGGCACTACAGTTTGATAAGAAGAAGGAGCACATGTGTCTTCTGCAGACTCTTAAAAAGCAATATTTAATAGTCAGTTTAGGCTGCATGGTTCAAACCAGGACTTTCTCACATATGGAGCATTGATGTGCATTGACCAACTCTATAAAGGGCATTATAATAACTTAAATAGTAGGTTGATAGATGCATGGCTGAGATCTGATGTGGGCTACAGGAGACATATTGTGCAAAAAAGCACTTAAAAGTTCACTTAAGAGGTTCATAAATTTTATAAATGTAGGATTCAGCAGCTTTGTGTAAACATTTTAGTACAAGTTTTTAAAAAATCTGTTGCTCCCTACCCTGAGAACAGTTCTTTGGCATTTTTGTAGTACTTTTTGTAATCCCTGTAGGGAAATTCTCCTCTGAATTTCACCCATCCTTTCAGGAGCAGTCGGCAGCACATGGGGTGCCCAGGGACCTCTATGATCTTGTTGCTAGGCTTGGTCAGGACTTGAGCTATGGTGCATGTTTTGGGTTGAGGTGGAGGTTTCTTTTTAAAAATATGGATTTACAGATGTCATGGATAGTAGTCACTGGCCTTCCATTGGCACATGACAAGGCTCAACCAGTTTGATAATGTTGGACTTTTTCGTTGAGGGGACAGTCTAAGGTCATTTTCATACATGTTAATGTGCTCTGTGGAGCAACTCCAGTGGCACTAGATTTAGTTTTGTGTACCTCACTTCATTCACCCAAAACGCATATACACACACTCACGTGCTCTTTTCTTTGACATGTGGCTATATACACAGAGGACTGAGCGCAATGTTGAAGGAGGAGAAAAAGCTTTTTGAATGACACACATACAGACCCAGGCTCACCTGTGCAGGCAGAGGCAGGAGGAGATGTCTCACTGATGTAATTATATTATATTATGTCAAACTGATTCAACTGCTACAAAAAGTCCTCTTGTTTCAAACATTCTCAGAGCGGCTGTTGACTGCTCTCCAAAGTGTGACTGTCGTGTCACACAGGCCCTAGTGCACCGCTCTCAGAGCCAATGCTCTTTTACATCCATCTGACTTTGTGACAGTGTGAAAATGATCTAAGACACTGTGCCAGCATAGTTCAGTAAAGCACCATCTGTCAGTGTAGCAAAGCACCATTTGTCAGCATGTTACACAGGGAGAATAATGACAATCCAGGAGTGCTATTCAAACACTAATGATGGATAATTACTCCCAGTGTTGTGTTCAGCTCAAAGTGTTGAATAAAGGCAAAGGCCTTCTCTGCCAAACTCAATACCATACCATGTTATCATTTATCACATTCTTAAACTGACAAATCATTTTTTTCTTCTTTTCTTTACCTTACAGAGATAATTGCTTGAAGATGTGTCTAAAGCCATTTGGACTTTGCCACTTATGAAATTGGCTTGTGTTTGTCATTAGGACCAGGTGCTTCAGCGTCTGTTTTTACACACCTTTGTTGGCCTTTTTCAAACAACCCCTTTTAT